GACAAGGTCGTCGTAGAGCGTAATCGCGAAAGAGCCGAGGTCCGCTTTACACGTAAACGACTGCTCTTCCTTCACGGCGCAGCCGTCGTCGTTACAGCCCGAGGCGAGCACCAGGGCCAGCGCCGAAGAATCGCCGACGACGACGACTGGGGACGTGAACTCGACGTAGACGCTGAGCTCTTGGCCCGCGTTGAGCACGGCCGTCCGCGGCTCGGCCCAGAGCTTTGTAATCTTCGGCGACCCGTCGCCGTCGATAACCACCGCAGGCGGATCCACGCGGATGGGCAGCTGCACAAAGTCGCCGTCGGGGATGCGCAGCGACGCGCGCAGCCTACGAGCGTCGGGTCCCTTTGCCGGCCGCGGCGGCGACGACGACGACGACGAACGACACACGACCGACATACTCCCGGGCCCACGCCGTTGGAGGGCGGATCCGGTCCGAGGTATCCGTCCAGGGCGGCCGATTGGGCCGGAACTTCGGCGCTGGGTGGCACTCGATGGCCTGCGGCTCGTCCTTGGACCCCGCGACCTCGACGTTGGAGGCGCGGCCCACCGGCGTGTTCTGCGCCGCTGCGCGGGCCAAGAGGCCCAGCAGGAGGCTCAGCAGCATGCTCGTCGCCGCGCGCAGCGCATTTCAAAACCAGAGACCCAAGCTTTGTGAGCTTTTTTTGCCAGTAATCGCTAAAATGGACAGGCGGCGCTAAAATGGGCCGCGCCGCGCCGCGCCCCGTGGTCGCAGGTCGCGGTCTGAGGACGACCCGGCATGGCCTGTGGACGGCCCGGGCATGTCTTTGGGATGGAACTGAATCGATGCGGACATCCCTCTCTCCATTTCCAGAAAAGTTGCGGGCGGCCTCGGCCGGGCCGCGCGGGCCCGCCCCAGCGGACTTGGCGTTTCTTCTGAGCCGCGCTACGGGAGCGCTTCAGTCAGTCAGTCAGTGATTACCCTTTCATAGAATTTGAAGCTGGGCTGCACGCGATTGACGCCCTTTTCATTGAACGCGATGGACCGGTGTGACGCGAAGAGTCCGGGGCGGTGGTGGGTCGGCCGGAATGTTTTGGTGTTGTTGATTGTGTCAACGCGCGTCAAGTCTTTCCGATATTTCGGCGACGCTGCGGTCCATATTTGGGCCGCGGCATGAGGTGGCTATTGGCGTTCGCCGCGCTGCGGCCCGTGGGGGCGCGCGACGGCCCCCTCGATCCGTTTTACAGCATTTGCGAGGCCCGCGTCCGTCTCCACCGCGGCGCGCCCTGGAGCGAAGGCCTCGGCACGGCGCGCGACTACCTCGAGGTGCGAAGCGACGCCTGCGCCGCGAAGCGCCGCCGGGGCCACTGCGGGGTGTTTGCAGCGGCTCGGGTGGACTGCCACGCTCGCGACTAAAACGCAGGCCCACAACGCGTCGTTCGAGTCTGTTCGGTTTGCGCTGCCCGAGGCGGCGGAGGCGGCTTATAAGCAGGGGATGCGGCTGGCGCTGCCGAGCCAGTCGCACTCTTGGCCGGCTACGTTGGACGTGCGAGGCAACTTTTTCCTTACGGCTCCATTTAAGCTAGACCACGACGCGGAACAGGTGCGAGGATGCAGGACCGCGAGGATGCCCAGTCATCTTCCGCGCACGACGCAGGTGCGGCACCTCATCCTCAATGGCAAGCTCCCTCACGACTTTGCCATGCTCGCGGACCTGTGCGTCCCGTGCCCGGCCCCGCCGCAAAGCGGCCCCGCGACGGCCCGCGGTACCGCAAAGGCGTAGGTACGACGCGCTCTCGCGCAACGTGGCGTGCGCCGCCTCTCCCACGGGGCTGCCGTGAGCGCGAATCGTAGGCTGCAGCAGCGAAACGCGCATTACCACGAGATGTACCTCTTGGCATTGGACGACTTTTCGGGCATGTACGCCATGCACAACGCCTTGCTCTACCGGCCGCCGCGCGAGGCGCTCGGAGAAGACGAATCGGCGCTGTCCGACTCGTTTCTTGGTCGAGCTTCTGCCATCGACGCCATGTACGCCGGCGAGTTCGATTCCGGCGGGTCGCCGGCGTTCTTCGTCGACGACGTCCTCTCGCCGGCGGCGCTGGAAGGGTTGTACGACTGGTGTACGGATGCTTCTGTATGGTTCGATGTGAAACTTGGTTACCTCGGGGCCTACCTTGACGACGGCTTCACTCCACCCTGGCTCTTCCGACTCGTCGAAGACCTCCGCACCGCCCTCCCGAACGCAGTCGGCGACAAGGTCCTGGGTGCGCCTCCCTCGGCAAGGACCTTACGGGAGAGACCGCTTGCCGTTGACCAAGGTTAACCCCATGGACCCGTACGGTGAACCGAATAGCTACGGCCTGGGCGTACAAGTACGACTCTCGGAACGCCGACGGCGCCGACGACGGGCCTCAGGGCGAAGGTGGGATTCGGGTCCACGCGGACCCGGCTGAGGTCAATATAAACCTCTGGCTCACACCCGACGAGGCCAACATCGGCGGAAACGAATACCCCGGCGGACTTACCGTGCACGGGCCAGCGTCGTCTCAGACGGAGCGCCGGGGGACGTTTCAAGGCCCGGAGCATGGCATGTTCCCAGATGTTCCCAGACGCAGAACGTTCCCAGACTCCGAATTGTAGGCACCGCACCTTTCGCGGCGAATACGGTAGACAACGCACCTGGAGCGGCATCCAGCACGTCTCCACCATCGAGGAACACCTCAAACAGGCCCAGGCCGACGGCGCGCCCCCGCCTCTTAAGGTGAGTCGCCGTCTGCGGGAGGGGCGTCGTGAGGCCAGAGGCCCGGCGCCAGGTGCCGTACAAGCGAAATCGGGCCGTCATCTTCGACTCTTCCATGCTCCACGAGTCGGCTCCCTTCCGATTCCGGCGCGGCTTCAAGAACCACCGCATCAATCTTACTCTTCTCTTTGGGCACCAAAAGCCCATCGATGACGCGGGGGCCGAGGCACCGCAGCCGCCCGCCGAGTCGCCCGTCGCCGGTGAGCCGCCTGAGGCGTCGCTCGTCTGCCTCCCGACGGGCTATTGCAGCCGTCTGCGCCTGTCCGCGGCCGCGCGGGCCCTCGTCGTGCACCGCATCGACGACATCGTCTTCTGCGCCACGGAGCGGACGGAGACGCCGGACTCGCGCCGGGCGCCGTCGCTCCAAGGGGAGGCGGACCGCGTTTTGGCGCTGTGCAGCGCCATCTCTTTGAGGATCGATGGCGACGTCCCCGCCGCGATGGCCCTCCTCGCCGACGCCGCCTCGGCAAAGGTCGGATTCGAGGTCGTCGGGTCTAGACTCGAGTGGGAGGTCTCGGCGACGCTCGCAAGCATAGTCCAAGAAGTAAAGTCGACGGAACACATGCCCTACGCCTACGCCTGGCGAGTTGCCCGCGCCGCTGAAGAAAGACGCCGGTGAAGAGAGAGCGGAAAGACGCCGGTGAAGAGAGAGCGGCCCTTGCGAGGGCCTCCGTCGGCGAAGATCGAGGGGCATTTTCGCAGTCGCGAGAAGGTACGGCTCGTCCTAGGAGCCGTCACTCGTACTACGTCGCCGACCCGCGCGTCTGCCAACTCGTCCTGCCCGAGCTTTCAAGATGGCGAAACGCCGAGGCGCCGTCATTGCTCGTCCACGTCCCGCGCACATCCGGGACGCAGCTGCGAATCTTGTACTCTGTGCTGCTGGCGGCAGAACTCTCCGAGTCGAGGCACTTCTTTTCAAGCCAGCTCCGCGCCTGCGACGCAGAAGCCTTTGACTCTATACCGACTTTAGCGTTCGTGCGGTCGCCCTGGTCTCGGGCGGTGTCGGCGTTTGATCACTTGCGCTTTGGAGCGGTGGACTCGCCGCACGACTCCGATGGTCCCGACTACTATGGTACCTGGCTCCTCACTTTCACAGACTTCGCAGACTTCGCAGAGTCCGGCGGCCTCGCCTACGCGGCGACGTTCCAGCCGCACTTCCTGCCGGCGTTGGATTTTCTGATCGACTTCGAGACGGGAGACCGGCTCGTGACCGACATTTTCCGATACGAGGACCTCTATTTGAACGCGTCTGCGGCAGAGGCCATGTTGCGCATGGTCTCCGCGACGCGCCTCTCACAACACGCGGCGGGCGACTGGCCGAAATTGAGAAACGACTCTCCGGCAGTGGACGCCCAGAGGTTCGCAGCTGCGCCCGTCGAAAACCTCTTCGAATCAGGGAGACACCACCGTGGCTGTCGAAAGACGGGTGGATCCTCCTCGACGCTTGACGTCGGGCATACCGGCGCCTTAGGCTCGTTTCCCACTGCAGACGCTACACGGCCGCCGCAGCGGAGGAAGTCGGGCGCGTCTACGAGATGGACGCCAAAGCCTTTGGCTACGAAGCCGGCTGCCGCGCCGACCAGCTCCTGCCGCCGACGCACGCCCCGCGCCAAGGCGCCGCGCCGCCCGCCGCGCCGGCCGACAAGCGCGTTGCCGCCGCGCGCGGAATCGCTGTCCAACACTTCCAGCGCGCGCGGCAACGGCCGGCCGCCGGCGTCGCCGTCTCGCTGGGGGGCGACGAAGCCGGTCGGCAAGATTTTGCGCTCGCGCCGGACGCACCCTCTCAAGTGCTCTAACGCTCCTTTCGCGGGATCTAACGCTCCTTTCGCAGGGTCGGACGCTCGAGTGAGTGCTCGACGGGTAACGCCAGGAAGACGTGTCGACAGCACCCGTCTCTCAAAGGCGGCGATGCGTCCGGGGCTCTCCAGAGTGGGCACAAGACACAGACCGCCCGGATTGCGTCCGCGTGAATCGTTCTGGTCGTAAAAAACACTGAAGGCAAGACGATTTTTTTTGGGGCGCTCCGGCGCTGATGGACGAGGTTCGGCCCATGAAACGAGCGTTTGGCTCCACAAGGAATGATTCCTAGCGCGCTTGGGCGCCCATTAATCGGGCGCGGCCGTGCATGGACCGTAATTGATATAAGATGCGCTCAATATCATTATACTGCAGCAAACAGCAGCGTCAAACTTCGGCGATCACTTGAATTGCATTCTTAAGCCATAAACCCTCGCTAGCGTGGCCTAATGGACAAGGCGCATGACTTCGAATCATGAGATTCCGGGTTCGAGTCCCGGCGTTGGTTTATTTTTTTTTTGTGCGCAACGCGCAGCCTTTTTTTTGCCCGCGCGCGCAGACGTGCTTTGAACTCTTCGTCCGAGTTTACGACGCGCACGCCCGCACGAACGCGGCAGGCGCATCTTCGTCGAAGAGGATTAAACTTCCTATACTTTGAGGGCCGAAGCGCAGGCCTCGGCAAATGCGGCGGCTGCAGACGGTTCCTCCGAGTCTGACGCGCCGCATCCGCGAAGCAGCGGCGTCGCACGAGGCGACGCCTCGAGAGTGGCGTCAACGTACTCGTTCGAAAGAGAAGAACTTGCTCGTTAATATGGACAGGTCCCTCGGTGCGCGCGGCTCGCGGCCGGCGCCTTTGGGAGTATAAACATGCGAGGGTTGCGCGGACGATCCACTTGGATCCACAGGTCTTGCGCGCAAGGCGCCGCGCGGGAGGGCGGGCCGTATCACAGGAGGACGTTATCGACGTCGGCGTCGTTGGCGTCGTCGAAGGACAGGTCCACGCAGACGGCCGCGGGCGGGCTCAAATCGATGCTGCGCGTCCGAAGCCTCGGGATCGGGAACGAGCGCGCGCTCGGCGGCGGCCCCGCGGCCGGGCCCGGCGGCTTCGCCACGAGCGCGGCCGACGCATGCGCCGCCGCGAGCGGCCGCGGCGACGGCTGCAGGGCCGCCGCGAGCGTCCTCGGCGGCGACGACGCCTGCGCGCCGCCGATGCGCACCGTCGACCCATCCGCCGAGCCGCGGGCGCCCTTGCCGCCGCGGCGCGCGAGCGCGGTCGATGTCGCGGTCCTACGAGGGCGCGGTCGAGGCCCGTGCGGACCTCCGCGCGCACGCGAGCGCAAGGCGACGTGGACAGAAAGACTCACTGGCGCGCGGCGTGGGTGAGCCGAGGTGTCGCGAGGGGGTCCGCCGCTTCTGCGCATTGGCCGCAGGGCATGGGTGCCACCGGCGCCGCGGGGCCGTCTCCGCATGGGTGCCATCCGTTTCCGCCGCCGCCGACGTGGCGCGAGACGCGCGGCATGCAGCAGCCCTGGTGGTCGCGGAGCCAGGCGACGGTATCGTCGTCGAACTCGCGCCGGTCGCGCGCCGGCTGCGCGAGCTTGAAGAGCGCGGCCACCGGATCCTGCACGCCGCCAAGCCCTGACCGCGCAGGCGATGCGACGGCCGCCGCCTCGGAATTCGGCCGCGGCCCGTACGTGCATTCGACGCGCGCGCGGCCCCGGACGCGCGACGCCGCGGGCGCGCGCGCCCGGGACGACTTTGGCGCCGCCGGGCCGAGCATGACCGAAGATATGTAAAGTTCACTCGCAGAGTCAGCGTGGGCCGGGCCGAGGTGCGCCACGTCAAAGGTTGCATCGGACGCCGAGTCGCCGTCCGAGTCGCCGTCTGGGGGGGCGCCCGAGGACGCCGACTCGCCGCCCGAGGCGCCATCGACGACTTCATCGTCGAGCGCGGCGGTCGGCGGCGCCGCGTGCGGCTCGGTGACGTACGGCTTGCTGTCGGTGATGGACGGCATGGACGGTGCCGCGCCAGCGTCGGGTTTCGGCGCGCGCGCGTCGCTGTCCCACGTCGGCCACGGCCCACACACAGAAAACTTGTCGCCGACAAACTTGGTGGGCACAACGCCGCCGTTGGCGCGCAGTATGCGGCGGTAGCGCAGGATGGACATGTGCGGCGGCCTGTCCCCACACGGCGCCGCGTCGATGAACGGCGCGTCTGTAAATGGCGCCGCGTCCGTGCGCGGGCCCGCATCAGAGACGGTGCGCGGCCGCGGATCGGTGTGCGACCCGGACGGCAACGTGGGCCGCCGCGCTTTCGCATCAAACGCGCCGCGCCCCCGAGTGGCCGCGGCGCCATCGACCACGCCGGCGCCGAAGAGGCCGTCGGGCGCGTCGCTCGCGCCGGTGCCGAA